CGCCGCTGTGCACAACCACATGGGCCTTCATGGCCTGGTACAGGGGTAGCTTTTCTTTTTTTTTTTTTTTTACTGCAAACTGTAGATCTTCTCCAAAGTTTAGGCAAAGAGCATGTCAGGAACAAATATCTTACATATATTATTTTTTCTGAGCTTTCTGAAATCCTACTGAAGATATGTATTTTATGAGATCATGCTATGAAACCACACAAATGCATGATGTTGGTTATCAAGCAGAATGAACTACATAACATGCAGCTTGATTATTGAGTTTTGAATTGGTAGCTGGCCAGTGAATAGATAATTCTAAAAAGTTCTGGCAGTGATGTATTATACTTCATATTACTGGATTTCTGGACTGTATCTGTTGTATGGCGTTCTAAAGAGCAGAACACAGTATTTTGGGAGCTAGATCTCCTGTCCTTATGTGAGAGGTAGCTATTCAGTTGGGTATGATAGCGAAATTCCTAGCTAGGTCTAGTGATAGGGATTAGCTCTTTGTGTTGGACCCAACTGAGTAGGCACTTCTCACCTGAGGTTGGAAGCAAATCCAGCTTCCAAAATGTGTTCTCTTCTTTAGCATATCTGACACTGGTCAAAATCCAGGAAACTAGTAATGTTAAGTGAATAGGTTTCTTGCGTCACCACTGTGAAACTGTCTGTTACTGCTTTACAAGATTGGAGGTTCTCATAGGGGTGTCTATGAGGAGTACTGCCATTTGGGATGCGATGCCATGTAGTCTAGTAGAAGATTACTAATGTTGCAGGGAAGTGTACTACCTCCACTGTCAACAAGCAAGCAGGCTGAGGGACCGTACTATATATTCCTCTGAATCATTGGTAATCCTTCTGGCTGCATGTATATAGCATCACATCAGCTGTAGCTTTTTCATTGTCTTACTGTTTTTTATTTGATACCTCTATACAAGTGTCCCTCAGAACATAACCCCTGATTAGTGTAGGGAGGGAGTCTTCATATTCTCTCCTGTCATTATCATTACTGCTTCTTACTGATTTTTCTTATGTTCTATCTGTGCATCTTTCTAATTTTACCCTCTCTTTGTTAAGGTCCAAGTAGTTTCATTTGTCCTTGAACAAAAAGGAATCTGTTACAGTTATGATTTATCTAAAAAGATATCTCTCTGTGATAATTCAACCATTTCTTTCATTTCACATTAATTTTCTAAGCTAGCCTTTTATTACAGCTTAAAATGATATGTTTCAAACTTTCCAAATCTTCAACTGCCTCTAGCTCCATCGTTACATGTGTTTTATTCCTGCAACCCAAGTCTCTGCTAGCCACACCTTGTCTTTTCTTCTCGGTATAACATTGGTATATATATTCCTCTCTGCCAAATTTTTGGCGTAAATAACATTTCCCCCTTTTGAGTTGACCTTGTGTGTCTTGTTTTTACTTTGACCATCTGTGGCTACCAGCCAGTTTCCTGAATGGTACGATAAAAGTTAGAAGTATACAGACTCTAGGTGTTACCAAATTTTGTTTCAGTCTTGAGACCCATGTTTCACATAACCTAGTACATCTGAAGCCCCTGTTTTGAGGTTGGCTCTTGTATAAAACATCCACATGAAAATTTTATTTTAAACTGAATTCAGCAGAATTTTGTTCATGCATGGGACAGCAGAAAAAATGCTTATTTCTTTTTGCAGGCCTTTGCTTGAGAACTACTGGCGTACTGATTGCTGTGCTTGGAGTGTAATGACACTGAGGTGATGTAGAGGTTGTATTTATGATCGTATTTTTACTGAACAGTTGGATCACCATCAGAATTTGGCAAGGCTCGTTACCTGGTAGAGTTCCCAGGACCTGTCACTACAACATCAACAACATCAACAACAACAGCAGCAGCAACAACAGCAGGTTCCAGCAAAGATATGTTACTGCCCCAATTATTAACAAGTCCACGGGAGAAGAAACAGAATGCATGGCATAAGCGTCGGGCTGGCAAGATACCCAGGCCTCCCAATGCATTTATGATCTTTGCAAATGAATGGCGTCGCAAATTGGCTTTCCAGCATCCAGGTAATTCTTACTTGTATATTTGCTTATGATAGCTGGTGTTCCACTGGAGTTCCAAACTGAGCGGCTCCTGAATGAGTCTAGAATGTTACTGCTACACCAGCTTGCTCGGTAGCTAGGTATGTAAAATTTTGTATATAGATGTGTTGTAAAGGTATTTACAGATTTTGTATGAACTGGTCTTTCTATTTCATATTGCAGTAAGAATTTCTGTTGGGGCCGTGCCAAAGCTCAAGCGGTTAGTTGCTGGCTTTCCACCGTGGTGGCCAGGGTTCGATCCCAGGTCTGGTCAAGTGGGATTTGTGGTGGACAAAGTGGCACTGGGTCAGGTTTTCTCAAGTACTTCGGTTTCCCATGCCAATCTTCATTCCATCAATTGCTCCACAATTACCCTCACCTGTCATCTGGGGCTGGTACAATAGGCCCGAAGCGGCCGCAATACAAGGGACTTAGTCCCACCCCACTAGCAACAAAAAAAGAAAAAAATAATTTATGTTAGTGAAAGTATGCTTTGAAACAGATTATAACTCACTCATGGAGCTGAGCCCTTCCTGAGAAGCCGCCAATTGTGCAGCCACTCAAGAACTTCCCAGCATTTTATGGAACCTAATGGTTCATTACCATGTTCACAAGAGCCCTGCGCTGGTCCCTATCCTATGCCAGGTCAATCAATCCATACCATCTCTTCCTATCCTTCTAAGATCCATTTTAAAATTATCCACCCAGCTACATCTTGGTTTTCCTAGTGGTCTCTTTCCTTCTCACTTTCCCACCAATATTTTACATGCATTCCTCTTCTTTCCCATTTGTGCTACATGCCCTGCCCATCTCATCCTCTTTGACTTGATGATTCTGATTATACCTGATGAAGAGCACAAGTTATGAAACTCTTCATTACGTCGCTTCATCTCTTTTCAGTCCAAATATTCTCCTCAGCACCCTGTTCTTAAACACCCTCAGTCTGTGTTCCTCCCTTATTGTCAGAGACCAAGTTTCACATCCATACAGAAGCACAGCCAAAATTGTAATTTTGTATATTCTAATTTTTATGTTTTTATACAGCAAATAAGACAAAAGGGTCTGGACTGAATGGTAGCAAGCATTACCTGAAATCAGTCTCCTCTTAATTTCCTCCTGAATCAGGTTTTGAGATGTTATAGTTGTTCCCAAATATGTGAATTGTGCCAATTTTCAAAACATCTATTAGCTAGCTTTATGTCAAGTATTCCTGCATTCTGGTGACGAGACGGCAACATGTAGTTTTCTCCATGTTTACATCTAGACCAACCTTCTTACCGACATCAATAAAGTTTGTATGTTTTTCTTTATGATATCTATATTACCACAGTAGATTATAAAGCTATGTAATTATTCATTCATAGTTTCTTTGACATCTCTATATAGATGGTAGCATTTAAAAAAATTAAGGATCACAATTTCTTTTCAGAACTTATTGTTGTACTGCATGAAGATATAAGCAGTTTGTAATGTTACTTTGAAATATGTTTTAGCGGAGAGTAACAAGGAGATCTCAGTACGATTGGGTGTGATGTGGAAAAACTTGTCAGCTGATACAAAAGAAAGTTATTATACAGCTTCACGTCAAGCGGACGAGGAACACAAACGCAAATACCCAGGTTACTACTACAGTCCGAAAGAGGCACGCATGAACAAGATGCACAAACACAATCTTGCTCTTGCTAGGAAAAGTAGCAAACCTGTTGATGCCATGCACCTTGTTAAGGTTAGTTTGTGCTGTTATTGTTCAATTATAATTTCAGACTCAAGGAGATAAATGAACATAAGTTACTGCTTTATACTAAACTATTATTTCTTTAATGTTTTCCATGCCAGATTGAAATTTTAATCATGTCTGCCCTGTGATTGGGTATTTCCATGTAATGATGTGTGTAAAGTAGTTATTTTGAAACATGTATGAATTGTTGTTTAATTTTCCTTAATTTATATTTTATATAGTACAGACACACTTTCTATCCTGTAAAATCCTGCCTAAAATCTGAGTGCATTCCTAGAGTCTGAAAGTATAGCAGAAGACAAGGGAAGTACCCAAAAATATTTTGAAACTGAGATACTATGAGTAATTTTATCCTACAGCATCTTACTGGTTCATTTTGGATGAGTTCATTTCTAAGAACCAAAATATGTCTGTGCATAGCAGGGTGTTGCTAGTGTTTTTGGATTTTGTGAGTGTTTTACTGTAACCATTGTTGGGGGATGTTATTTTTTTGTTTTTAATGCAATGGGTTTAGAGGTTGAAGAGGTTTTCTTGCAGTACAGCATATAAATTGCAGATGCTTCATCAACCTAAGAAATGATAAATGTGTGGAGAAAGCAAGAGGAAGAATTAAAGAAAGTAGAAGAGCAGATGCTGCTTTTATGGTCTTCATGCTAAATGAGCAGAACTAGAAGATTAGGTTAAAAATGGCCAATAGATCACTGCAATAGAGATGCATATTATAGTCTGGAAAGTATGGCAGCCGACTGAGTTTACAGACATAAAAATGCATAGTAATTTGTAATCTTTACATCTGTTTGTCTACTTAAGTGTTCACAGAATTTAAAAGTATTGTCACATGTTAGAGTGACTCCCGATGGGGTCTTGGATTGGATAGTGGTTTTATTGGATTGTAACTGCAAGTAACTATAACAGTTTTACTGACTTACACACTCCAAAAATCGCTGCAACTACAGCACACATAAAGTCTTCTCTGTCTTCACTAGACATTTCCTGATAATGGATTTTAACAGTGGAGATTCTTCAGCTTCTGTTCTAACTGCATGGACTAAGTTTTCTTGTCACACACTCTCTTACAATTCCCTCTCTGCTCAACTGAGTAACTTCGAAACTTCCAGGCTAGCAGCCATTTCACACCAACCTCCTAGTGTTCCCTTCACAGACTGACTTTCAACTGATAATTGAGCTCCCAGACTTGTGTCCTTGTTATATAACCCCTCTGCATGGACGAAGTAGAAAACACAGTTTCCAACAGTTCCTGTAATATTGTAGTTCAACTCTTGCTTGTTAAGAATCTGCAGCCTAAGAACAACTGTTATCTTAATATTATATTTCAGCATCCTGTTGCATTGAAGTATCACTTAGGCTTCTTCTTTCTACAATGCAACTACATCAGTATACATTAATATGACGCTAATCCACATTTAATGCACTAAAATTTTTAAAAATGTTACAAAAATGTGTATACATTCCATATTTACGTGCTACATGTTTTGACCACACAGGCCCATCTTCAGGCAACACATTACTAAGGAATCAACTGCACTGCACACTTTGTCCATAATACTCTTAAGGTACATTATCATTGTTATTAATATTGGTATTTTAGGTATAAACATCCTATACACCAAAGTTATTAATGATGACATACCTTAAGAGTACTATTGACAAAGTATGAAGTGCAGTGGATTCCTTAATAATATGTTTCCTGAAGATAGCCCTGTGTGTCTGAAACATGTAGTACATAAAGGTGGGATGTATATATATATTTTAGTGACTTTTTTTTAAACATTTTAACGAACATTTTAGTGACTTAAATGTGGATTAATGCCATATAAATGTATATTGATATTGTTGCATTATAGAAGGTAGAAGACTAAGGGGCTGTTATCTTACTGTTTGTTTCACAGTTGTTGCCTAGAAATGAATATTGTTTCAGAGCCATTCATTGGCAACAGCTGTTTCTCTGGCTCCACTGTTCTCGCTTTGAGCAAATATGCTGCAGTAGTTTAAACCAAAGTCATAGAACAGAAAAATATTGTATGCCTTGTACATTTCTTTGAAGGTCTAATATATTTTGTTGTGTGATAATAGGTATTCATGACTGACATGAATGAGACCACTCCATACCTTGTAGTGCCAGAAAAAACCAGGGAGCAACAGATGCAGCAAATATCATTGTTGGAGACGCGAATAGAGACATCGAAAAACTTAACCCCATCTTCTGAACATGTGGAGGCAGATGTTGGGGTGAAAGCTGATCTTGCAGGAGGTACTACTACTGCTTCAGGTGGCAATGATGAGCCTAAGGTCACCACCGGAGTCCTGAAGACAGAGACCTCTTCTCCAGTTACAGGAAACGAGGGTGACGAATTACCGGCTGGTGGTGAAAAGGTTGAAAAATTGGAGGTCAAGTCAGCTGATAACAGTGATCAACAAAATTTCAAGTGAAAAGTTAAGATGAATTTTGTCATTTGCCCGACGAGTGGCTTAGAGTAGTCTCTGAAGTGAATTCGTACAGAGTGATAGTACCGTCATAACAGACATCTTGAGTTATTCACATGTATCGTTATTAATAGCGAATAATTTGATGTAGAAGTAGTGTGTCATATATGTGCTTCCTTTAGTTTCAGCCTCTTCCACAGCTTCTTGACCTTTTGAGTTTACTGTGCCTGTTATGCATATTGTTACGTCACTTAGCTCGTAAAGAAACTAATAAATCCCGTATTTGAGCAAAATAATGTTTGTGAAGTGAATGGTCAAGAAACTATTACTCAAACACTGAAAGAATAAAAAAAATTGTTTGTACAAGTGATGACTGTTACATTTGTTTTATAATTCTTACACATATAATCTCAGTTACTGTATATCATATTTGCAGTATGATAAATGGTCCTATTTTGGAAGGAATATTTGTATGTATGCATGTAGGTGAGGTTAAGTGTGTGTGTGTGTGTTTTTTTGTTCAAGAGTAACACAGTAACAACACAGCATCAGACTGAGTAGAGACTTGTCAATTTTTATATGCTCAGAATATATTATGAAGCTACAGCTTACTCATTTCGTGAATGTAGGCAAGATAATAAATATTCTATTGTATCTGTTATCTCATACACAATGCTGTAATTTTTATTAGTCTTTGACCATGGGCTCCTGTTACCTGGGCCCCATAATTACCACTCTCTCTAGGTTCACTGTTACTATCACAGAGGACTTTATTGCGGAATGCTGGTGTGTACTTGTGTGGAAGACTCATTGCTGTCTTCACCATACTGACAGATGAGCACTTTATATGAACAGTACATTGTAGGAGATGATGGATATGAAGAAAACGTTTGTTATTGTGTGATAACTATTTTCCATTCTTCCCCTCATTCTGGACCATAGAATGTATGGCTGTAACTACATAATGAAGCCTTTGCAGGCATGGGTTGACTGAGACTTTTAAATTAATCTGCCACCACACTGTCACTCTATAAGGGAAGGTACTAACTTTAGAATACTGTATATGTATGTAAATAGAAATACATCCCTATCTATAGCTGTTGCTGGTCATTTCTTGGACATTTTACAAATTTGGATACATTTCAAGACAAACAAAAAAGTTAATGGTATGAAATAGTGAGAAATGTTTATAGGTTTCATTTTATTATTACAGTGTGGAAAAGCTACTACAAAAACTGGACTCTCTGTCCATCCATATATATATATATACAAAATTATGCAAAACTGAAAATCCAGAGATTTTTGTGACACCGTTCGTTACCACTGATAGGGATATATTCATGTTTGTGTTCTCTTACATTTTAGTGTTGCATGAGTGTATGAAGGGATGGAACAGCTGCAGTGAGATATTGTCCTCTTCCATGGATATTTCCACTTTAGCTCAGTAAATGAATAATTGTTGATACAGTCAGTATTGAACAGTGCTACATCCACGAATATATATATGTAGTCTGGTCACCAGTGTTTCAGAAGAAAGTACTGCTTGGCTTACCCTTTGATCCTGAAAATGGAGCCGTTAAATTCCTCAAAAACATCGGTGAACTCATACTGGACTGCATGGCCTTACATCCCAGAGGATAGTACCCTTCATAGCCACTGTTGTGAGAACCTCAGACCAACAAATAAAGAACTGATGATTCAGTCTTTGTACTTGATGCTAGATTTTTCACCAACCCTTGAACCTTAGACTGTTATGTGTTCTTTCAGCTGATATACTTACACATTCATATATACATTGTATGTATTGTCAGGCTTGTATCAAATATGATATTTCCATTGTGTTAGCACATACGAGTTATTTGTTGCCCTTTAAATTATGATGAATGGAATTTTGTTAATGATCTATTTAATAAACTCATGATCAACTTTACATTAACAGGGAAAAATGTGACAATGAAAATCTAAGTTCCTTGTAGAAATGTCAGTGAGTTGTGAGAAAGACATTTTTTAATAAAGACTGGCTGTAAAATGAGACACCCTCTGATCTTAATTCATAGTGTTTTGTTTCTGTTAGAAATAGAGAACTTTTCCATTTAAAACTGCACCCATAAAGACTGGAAATTAACCTCCTAACTAAATGCCTGGTAAATACAGATTTATATAGAATTATAATCATATACAGTAATTTACCTACATGTTTGAGCACTGGTGGTGAATTTGAGGTTAGGCATAAATTGAAGAAAGCACAGCGTGATGCTCAGGTTCAGTACTCCATAAATGCCTGATATTATAAAAAACAGCAGAGTAACTATCATCACTAAAGAGTGCCATTTGTCTAAACCCTGAATCATTTCATTCCAGTTCTTGTTGCCCCCACTGTTATGAAGAGCCATTTGAATGTTATTCTCTGGTCTATTGTCATAAACAGTCTCTTTCTCTGTAGTATGACTGTCTGTGATGAGTCACATATTTCACAACTATTTAATTATTTTAAAATACATATTTGTAATTAGCTGTATGTCCTTGTAGCTTTATAGTCAGTGTGTAGAGAAACTTTGAATTTCAAAGTACAAGACAGATTTCCATAAAAGATGACAATATAAATATTTCCTGCATATAGTATTTTGCCAGAGTCAGTTATCTTTGTCTTCAAAGAACACTATAAGGGGGCTTCACCTTGGCATACAAATTATAGTCTAAAAGTAGTTAGGTCATCACTGAAGACTGCTGTCTTTATAGTCACTGCTGTGAGAACCTCAGACCTTGAGATCAGATCACCAATTTACAGGTTTTAAAATAAAATTCAGAATTACGTTTTTGATGTAATAGTAATCCACCACTTCTCTTTTCATCATTTGGACAATAGCTTGTCTGGCTGGATAATGTAATTTAATTGAAAACACTGTGAACATGNACGGCAAATTGCAGCCGCAGCGCGCACTTGATTGTACGCACTGTATGTACATATATTTCCTTTTTCAGTATCATTTCAGATTTCACGCAGTACTTTACTGCAGGTACATCCAAATTTGAAAGTAATATAGAAGTGACCAGTACCAAAACTATGGATGGGAGAAGCATCTTGATGCACTAAGCAGCATGAACTGTTAATAGTAATGTATTACATATATAAGGCACATTTCTTTATGTAACTGTTATGTGGTAACATAACCAAAGACATATTTCTTACAGTTCCATGTTTATTGATCGAAACTTACAGACAAATGTAGTAGTGGCATATAGAGTTTGATTTCTTTTTTACTTTAGTACACGCTATTGTCTGGATATACTATTTCAGTTTGTACTGAAAATGTGTATCTCATATGAAGAAATTTACTTTGTTAACTCATAGTGTTTATGTAAGTTGGCATTGCCATGGACCTATGATATGTGTATGATATCAGTTCTTAGCAGAGTTGGGAAGAGTACGACATTCTGCTTATGTATACATTCACTGTATGTTATGTTATGTTATATATTGTTCCATAAATATACACCATATTTGTAACAAGCATCATGTGTGATATTGGATGTTTGTATTAATTTTATGTTCATGTTCATTAACTTTCATGTTGAGTACAGAGGTATTACATTAAAATTGTAACAGATGAAGAGTGTAAAATGATGGTTAAAAATTGTGGTATTTCTGATTGTGCTCTAGCACTTGTGAGTGAAACACAAACCTCAATATCTAGCTGCACTTAGAAGAGAACCTCTTTCTGAATTACCTGGCAGATTGTTAACCGTGTAGTTATTCTCTTGGTTGGCGGTTGTCCTTCCCATGTAGCAATCATGATTACTCAAGTGCCTTAATAATGGTGTATTGACTATGAATCTATACCTGTAGCTATATCATCCCATTTTGCTTCCAGTTGTATCACTGAGCTTGCTTATTCCACACAGATTTCACCATTGTCATTTTTATGATTTGATGTAAATATTGTGGTTTGTTGTGTAATGTACTGGATAGTCATTTTTGGATTTTTCCTTTGTGTATTTTGGTCAATTTTGTAGTGTTCTCAAAAGTACCATGTGGCAAGACTTTTTTTTTTGGTAATATTGTTGAATTTATGTATTGTAAAGGTTAGTCAATCGTTTTTTTTTTTTTGGCATTGAGTTTTGTTCCATAATTTCAGCATTTAAGTTTGTTGTTGAAGTAATTAGTTTGATATGGCCATTGAGAAACTGTTACTTGATTGTAACGTTACCATGTAAACAGTGGGTGGGAAAGAAATGATGCAGAGGTCAAGGTAGAGGCTTTACCATTGATAGAATGAAACATTGTTAATGTACTGGATTCAAGGTTCTCACATGACTATGAAGATTGCTGTCTTCTGGGATGTAACGCAGTGTAGTTCAGTAGTAGATCATTGATGTTTCAGAGAAATGTACTTCTCCATCTTTAGGGTTGAAGACTGAGCCAGGCAAGAAACCAGCAGGAATTAGTCAGTTTTAACTTACTCCATGACCCTGAATAATGACATAGTATACATTCCTCAGAAATGTCTCTGAACTGCATGGTATCATATCCCCAAAGAAAATTATTCTTCGCTGTTATATTTATATTCGTAACTCTTGGATGAATATGAGATTTTGTTTTTAAAGGGGAAATTTCTTGCAAAGGGACATTATTTTGTGAGTGTAATTCCTCAGATGCCACATATGATGTTCAGAAGCTTATAAATGCAACACAGTACATTGAGGGGATGCTTTATGCTCATTTTGAAAGGAAACTGATATGAAGTATGGCAGTGAACCATTCAGCACTGCAATAGTAACTTCATAATTTCTTTAGTAGTTTACAATTGGTGCTTGTTAAGGAGATATTTTTTTTTCTTACAGAGAAAAATGTTGGTGCACTTTGGTTTGATTTTGTTCATTTTCACCTGTTGGAAGTTTGTCTTCCAGGACGTGACGCTGTGTTGTTTGGTATATAGGTACTAGCGCTTTCAATAAATGTGTTGCCTCCTGCTGCAAGGTCCCTGCATCACATCTCAGAAGTTAGATCTTCATAACCTCAGATCTCACTTTTAACAGATGGTTTCTCCATTATTTATGATGTATTCACTATTCTGAGACATCATGTGTTGGTTAGAGAATATGAATGTTGAAATCCCCTACTGAGTATTGGCTGTGTAGTACTGACATTCTGTTTTATTCCTGTTGTGCCGATTTTCATTACTGTGAATAGTTAAATAGTTAAACTTGTTTTAATTACTACGAATAGTTAAGGAGTTAAACTTGAGGAACTGGGTATTATATTTGCACAGAAGGGTTGTGTTATTATTAAAAGCTTGAATTTACTTATGCAGACCATACATAGTAGAGTTTTATTTAGAAGCAACACAGTACACGAAGGATGTGCATCAATGCACATGACCTCCTGTGATCCTGCAATTGTCTCTTTCATATTTAATTTACTATTTCAGAATGTGTTAATGGATGCTGTTGTTTGATGTCTCAAGTTTTTCTTAATTTACACAGTGCTCATTACATTTCCCAAGAAGAAATTTGTTGATATCAAAATGATCACTTCATAAAGATATATAATGCAGTGTCTTAGATATTAATATCTTATGTTTTCTAATATTAATGGTGTAAGTTGGGCAAAACATGTTATTCTTTAGTAACTGAAAGGTACATTTTTGGAAAGTGTTAGAAGGATTTGGATCTCTGTAGTTATTTTCTTCTCACAGATGATATCCAAGTACATGTTCCTGAACCTTCATGGCATGCTTTAGTCAGCACACTTCTTAAGTACAAATCTTGGTGTCAAAATAAAGGTTATTTGATGCAGCTTAAAAATGACCACATAAGACTTGTATATTGGGATTGTGTTAGTACTTCTGTGAATCATTATGCAGTTCTGAAGCCATTTTTTTCTGGAGTCATGAAATTGGTATTAAATATAATATTGATGGAGAAAATTCATTTGCTGTCATATGTTATGAGGTAATGTTAACTGTATATTGAAAGGCCGTGCCATAGCTCAAGCGGTTAATCGCTGGCTTCCCACCATGGCGGCCCGGGTTTGATCGTGGTTCTGGTCAAGTGGGATTTGTGGTGGACAAAGTGGCGCTGGGGTGGGTTTTTTCCGAGTACTTTGGTTTCCCCTGCCAATCTTCATTCCACCAAGTTCTCCATCATAATCACCCAGGGCAGGCTACAATAGGCCCATCAGTGGCTGCTGTGCTGAGTGGACCCAGTTGGACTCCACCCCCCACTAAGTGAATTAATTTAAAAAACTGTATATTGAATATAAAAAGATGGTAAACACATGAGTTTATGTACTGAGCTGATCAGGACTTGAGTGTAAAATTCATTGGTGTTGTCCCAAGTAAATTTTTGATATGTTACACAATTGCATGCAGCATCATTTATATATTAATTTAATGAGGCTGTATAATGCAGCTCATTATATTAACTTAATTAATACTTAGGTATTAATGAAAGGAAATGTAGTAAGTTGTATCAGATTGTTATATTTCAGCATCCTGTTGCATTGATGTATCACTTGCTCTTTCACCTCCCTCTTTAATGTAACTGTTCACAGTCTGTCTTTAATTTAAAATAACATTAAAATCACCTCAGTTGCTACATGTTTCAGGTAATTGTTTACTGCCTGAAAACTGTCACACTCCATTAGATCTTAGTCAATATATTTTCATGCTATTGCATATCGTTACTCACACAAAAATTAATTAGGGTATTTAGGTATTAATGAAAGGAAATGTAGTAAGTTATATCAGATTGTTATATTTCAGCATCCTGTTGCATTGATGTATCACTTGCTCTTTCACCTCCCTCTTTAATGTAACTGTTCACAGTCTGTCTTTAATTTAAAATAACATTAAAATCACCTCAGTTGCTACATGTTTCAGGTAATTGTTTACTGTCTGAAAACTGTCACACTCCATTAGATCTTAGTCAGTGTATTTTCATGCTATTGCATATCCTTACTCACACAAAAATGTGTTTATCTGAGACTAAAACTCTCTCTCCCCTCTACGTTATTTTCCTTTTTTGGCGTCCATGTTTGTGTGCCCTTTGAACATGTGTCATAAGTAATTGGGCTAGTGTCCCTTAGGATACAGTTTTAATTTGTTAAAGTTGAAGATGAATGAGTGAGTTGTGTCAGATACAAGATTTGAGACATGGTAGTGAATGGGATGTGATACCATGTAGTTTGGTAGATATGTACCAACAGTTTGGAGGAATCTGCTGCCTTGTATTGAAGGTGTAAGATGGGAGTATTATAATATGCAAACTTATTTGGAAGAGTGAATATTTTTGTCAAAATTTTGTATCTTAAGGAAATTTGCTAATTGGAAAGATATTTTTTACACATCCAGTATTGTAAATGTAAATGTAGTAAGATAATTCCAGTGCAGGGTGAGTGATACAGTTGTTCATTATATTCTATGGTAATGACACAGTGATAGGTCAGGGTTAGAAGTCATTGACAGAATTATGACTCTTAGAACAGAATTTGAAATTTAATGTTCCAACATTGACACCAGAAATAGTAAAAAAAAAGAAATAAAGTTTTAAATGCTTTGTATGGTGCATAATCCCCAACTTCACCTAATTTGTTGCTCATTTTGTGTGTCTGAATGAGCCTTTCTGTACATATTTATTTATATACAGTCTGTGAAATCAGGACCACTTATGTTCAGTTTTGGCAACTGATTTATGTTTACATCTGTTATTTTACCTTGTACAGTCTGCAGTTTAAGCCCAGTACATTATCATTTTACAGTGGTGTACAAGAGTTTAATCATGTGGTATCCAAATCTTTTCTACTGCACTTCATATGAGTTATCATCGTTCTGTACTGGCTACATTGAAATGGATATGGTGCATTGATTCTGAGTTTCTTTTTTAGTTTCTAGGGTTGGGTGGAGGGG